AAGAGGAAAGAGCCATAATCAACACATTAACACAGCACCTTCAACAACTAGAAGCACACCAACAGAGGGAACCTAATAAAGATAAGGGCAGAAATAAATGAGACAGAAAACTGAAAAACTATAGAAAGAATCAACAAGACAAGAAGCTGGTTTTTTGAAAGGATTAATAATATTGACAAACCATTGGCAAAACTAACTAAAGAAAAGAGGGAAAGGACACAAATCAATCGCATTAGAAAGTACATAGGTGATGTCACCACAGAACCAAACGAAATAAAAAAGATAATAACAATACTACGAGAGCTATACTCCAACAAATTAAAAAATTTGGACGAGATGGATACATTTTTAGATAAACACAACCTACCTAAACTTACCCACACTGAAGCAGAAAATCTGAACAAACCCATAACAAAAGAAGAAACTGACCAGATCATCAAGAAACTCCTGACCAACAAAAGCCCAGGCCCAGATGGCTTCAAGGGTGAGTTCTACCAAACATTCAGAGAAGAACTGTCACCAATTCTACTCAAATTATTCCAGAGCATAGAAGAGGATGGAAAACTCCCTAACACTGTTTATGAAGCAAGCATAACCCTCATACCAAAACCAGGAAAGGACAGCACTAAGAAGGAAAACTATAGACCAACATCCCTCATGAACACAGACGCAAAAATTCTCAACAAAATCCTAGCCAACAGAATCCAACAGCACATCAAAAATATAATACATCATGACCAAGTGGGCTTCATAAAAGGGATGCAAGGATCAACATCAGGAAAACGATCAGCGTAATCCATCATATAAATAAGAAAAAGGAAAAGAACCACATGATCATATCGACTGACACAGAAAAGGCATTTGACAAAATCCAATATCCATTCCTGATAAAAACACTCAACAAAGTAGGAATTGAAGGGAAATTCCTCAACATAATCAAGAGCATATATGCAAAACCAACAGCCTACATCACTCTCAATGGAGAGAAACTGAAAGCCTTTCCTCTGCGAACAGGAACCAGGCAAGGATGCCCTTTATCACCGCTCCTATTCAATATTATGGTGGAAGCGTTAGCCAGAGCTATATGGCATGGTAAAGAAATCAAAGGCATCCAAATTGGCAAAGAGGAAGTAAAACTCTCCTTATTTGCAGACAATATGATCCTATATATAGAACACCCCAAAGACTCCGTAAAAAAACTATCATACCTCATCGAAGGATTCAGCAAAGTGGCAGGGTATAAGATCAACATACAGAAATCAATTGGACTTCTCTACAGCAACAGCATTAACGATGAAAAAGACATTAGGAAAATAATTCCATTTACAATAGCCACACAAAAGATGAAATACCTAGGAATAAACATAACCAGAGAAACACAAGACTTATACAGAGAAAATTACAAAACACTACTACAAGAAATCAAAAGAGACCTACAGAAGTGGAAGAACATACCATGTTCCTGGATAGGAAGACTCAACATCGTGAAAATGTCAATACTACCCAGAGCAATTTACACATACAATGTAATCCCAATCCAGATTCCAACAACATTCTTCAAAGAGATGGAAAGGACAACACATAATTTTATATGGAAAGGAAAGAAACCCAGGATAAGCAAAGCACTGCTGAAAAGGAAGAACAAGGTTGGAGGTCTCTCACTCCCGATTTCAAACTTTACTACACAGCTACGGTGGTAAAAACAGCCTGGTACTGGTACAATGAAAGAGACATTGATCAATGGACCAGAATCGAGAATCCAGATATCAACCCAACCACCTACAGCCAAATGATCTAAAACAAAATGCCTAGGCACATTGCATGGAAAGAGACGATCTCTCTAATAAATGGTACTGGCAGAACTGGAAAGCGATATGTTAGAGACTGAAACTTTACCTCACGCCATACACAAAAATGAATTCATCATGGATCAAAGATCTAAATGTGAATCCCAAAATTATGAAGACGATCAATGAAAAAATAGGGACAAATGTGAGGGCACTAATTCAGGGCATAGACAGGCTGCCACACATTTTGAAAAGTACACAAGCAAAAATAGACAAAATAGATGAGTGGGACATACTAAAAATTAAAAACTGGTGTTCATCAAAAGACTTCACCAAGAGAGTAAAAAGAGAACCCACAGACTGGGGAAAAATCTTTGGCAACGACATATCTGATAAGGGACTCATCTCTAGAATATATAGGAAAATACTACACATCTACAAAACCAAGACAAATAACCCAATCAAGAAATGGGCACAGGATATGAACAGACACTTCACTAGGAGGAGATCCAGGCAGCCAACAAACATATGAAGAGGTTCACGATCACTAGCCATTAGAGAGATGCAAATCAAAACAACAATGAGATACCATCTCACACCAGCAATAACAGCAAAGATCAAAAAAGCTAAGGACAATAAATGCTGGCCGGGATGTGGAAAGACTGGGACACTCCTGCATTGTTGGTGGGATTGCAAAATGGTCCAACCTCTCTGGAAAGCAATATGGTGCTTCCTCAGAAGGTTGAAAATAGAAATACCATTCAATCCAGCAATTCCTCTACTTGGTATTTACCCACAAGACAAATGAGCCACAACATGGGAAGATATATGCACACCAATGTTCATAGCTGCACTATTTACAATAGCAAAAAGATGGAGACAGCCAATATGCTCATCGACTGAAGAATGGATAAACAAGCTGTGGCACATACACACAATGGAGTATTATGCTACCTTTAAAAATAACAAGGAAGCTACATGCCACTTCCTAACATGGATGAAACTTAAGAACATTATGTTGAGTGAAATTAGTCAATCACAAAAGGAAAAATACTGCATAGGACCACTACGTAAAAGTCTAAGAAAAAGAACCCATACTATCCCATTAAAGTGGAATCTAAGCAGGCTTCTAGGATGCAGGGGTAGGGTTAAAGA